TGAGCTGTGTCATGTATAGGTACAGATTCCATATGATGTGATCATTATGTATATCTAAAATGTACCAATAAACTTAATCATAAAAAATGTGTTATATACATGTGCCAGGTGCATACAAGGAATATAAACATTATGTACTACAAACATGTATTAATAAAAAAAGTAGATTTTTAAAGGAAATATCCAATCAAATAATAAGCCCATAATTAGGAAGAGTTAGGGGAATATCATGGCCAGTAAACAAGACAGAGTACACAAAGAATTACTGAATTATCAAATCCAATGTCCTTACCTTAAAGTCTAAAAATTTTAGTTAATTTACCCGAAGTTGCAGTGTACAGTAAATTAAATACTTTAACATCTGTGCTTTGCCTAATGCTGCCTCTTGAATGGACACTAACAAAGGTATAAACCTTTCATTGTTCTTAAAATCTATCTTGTGAGTAGATTTATTTTCAATTATTGGAGAAAGTAAGACTAATCTATTTTTTGAAAAGAGGAAAAATAACATGAACAAGTAGTACATATACAAACCCAGAAATATAAATGCTCAATAAGTGAAAAATATTCAACTTTGGTTGTAATCAAAGAAATGCAATTTAAGTCAGGTATCATTCTTGGTTTATAAAAAATTCCATAGACTATAAAACACCCACTCTTGATTATAATGAAGGAAGTGGGATATATTTTTATACTTTTGGCAGGAATATAGATGGCCACAACTTTTCAGCAGGGCAATTTCGTACCATGTATCAGAAATCCTAAATAAAAGAGACCATATGATCCAAGAAATTTAATTCTAGAAGTATCCTGAGCATATATTTGGGGATTCACACTCAATATCATTGTGTGTATATCTTCTGTACATCTGTATAAATGAAAAACTGGAAATAACCAATAATCTATGTATCTTAAAAGATTAAATAAATTGTAGTGTACTATAAAGCTATTTAAAATTCATGATATATAGTTTAGAAAATATTTTCAATAACTGTGGAAACAAGACATCTTCTCTGAGCCTTTTACAAATTTTAACTGATCAGACATATTTATTGACTTCAAATACGACAGTACATTTCAGTACAACTCAACCTTAGGTACATCACAGAACCAAATAAGAATACAAAAGTTAAAAGTTCTCGCCAGAAATGGTGGTGCCTGCCTGTAATCCCAGCACTTGGAAGACTAATGCAGGAGGACTGCAGAGGCCAGCCTCGGCTACATAGTAAGTTCAAGGCCAGCCTGTACTACATAAAGAGAGGCTGTCTCAAAAAAAAAAAATTCTGTCTCCCCCTGCCCCCACTTTCTCTCAGTGGGGCTTGTGTAACATACAGAAATAAAAGACCAAAAATTCTATAGACAAGACAGCTCACACCAAAAGATACACAAATGACCCTTACATATTAAAAATTAATTTTAATTAATATTAATATCATTTATATTAAATAGAATCATATTAAAACACAATGAGATGCCACTTCTCACCTATCAGAATAACAAATTATTTGACATCATACCTTGCAAGGGCTACAGGGAAACTGTTACACTGTTGGCAAGATCAGAAAACAGCACAACCCCAATAGAGGAATTTCATAACCACATCTATAAAATTACACATACTGTACATTTACCTTTGCCCTAGCAACTTCATTTACAGGAATCTATCTCAAAGATATGATATCAAAACTATGTAAGCATAAGCTAGTATTTACAGAACTATCTGTAACAGCAAATAAGTGGAAACAATAGTGGACTGACAAATCCACCCTGTGTAATGTAATTTCTTAAAAAGAAATATACATACATAAATATAAATACATTTGGTACATTAAAAACTCAATGATTAGAATGAATAATCGATAATGTAAAATAGGAAGAAAAGGTCCAAAGGGGTAGGGGTAGTGGGAGGGGCAGGGGAAAGGAAAGAAGGGAAAGG